CAGATCCCATTATATGTCCGCAAGGTTGACCAGAAATTTTGACAAGACACTTGACACGTTTCTTATACTTTTCTGTAGATGGTAACTTTTCCAGATAATTCTAAATAAAACTTTGTTTATTATTAGTATCATTAGAAAGATTTGCCAGTCTACTTTCTTGTTCTACATTATCAACAAGAACTTGTGGATTATTTGCATCTTTTTTCCCCAAAATACTTCGCTCAGTATTATTCACCAAGTTTGAATTACCTGAAGTTGAATTTTGTAATGAATCCTGCGGTAGAACTTGCGATACGCATTCTGTTTCTATTTTTATGTTTCTTGTTTTGTTTGTTTTTTTTTTGTTTTTTTCTTGTTCTTTCTGTAATTTTGTTTTAGAACTCTTTTTATTTTTTTTATTGGTTTGTAACTCTCGTGGTATGTGGTCACTCATAATAAATATGAGGAAATAATAATAAAATCATACAACGAAAACAAAAAAAAAATTATCAAGTAAATTCCAAAGATAGATCCTTTCAATGGTCAAATACAAACGGAATTATAAATTTCGAAATTTTTTATTTAATTTTAAATATTTACAAGTAAATTTGTTTTATTTTTTTGTTTTAGTTAGAACGGTAACACGTGTTGAACAAACATCGTGAAATCGTGTCATATTAATCAGTTGATATACGATCTATATCCGGATATATCCAGATATCATCTGGATAATGCGGATATCCGGGTATTATCAGATATCCGTTGGATTATCCAGATATCCAAAATTTTGTAACTGTTCAATCCGGATATTCGAATATCTGTTAGATATTCGTTTTTAACGGATAACGGATATAAACTCTAGCGATTACATTAACGTTAAAGTTTAAATAAAAAAACCCCGACATAAATTTATTTTATGCTAGCTATCAAATTTTTTTTTTTTAAAAAATTATTTAATCATTTGCGCGTTGCTGTATCACGTAATAAAATAATCAAAATCTCATTAAACCAAATCTTTCAGAAATGTAAAAATTTTAAGAAACTCATGGCTTTTGCAGGAAATAGGCAGGAAATTAAAAAATTGTAGATTTGATTAGAATAATTAATGTAAAATTAACAGATATTTCATCATCTTATCCGAAAGTTAGTGTGCTTGCAAAATTCAGATGTACTATAATGAAAAACTTACTTTCACTACATGTTGAAAAGATGAATCTGTTGATGACGTTTTCGATATCGGGTTATTAACTATTAATTATTAATGAGAAATTACAAATTAATGTGATAACCTTTCGGTTAGTTTCGATTCATATTAATGCTTTAACATAAATAATAATTTTAATAATTTCTTAATAGAACTTTCTGTCTTCTAGAAATTCTTTGAAATTAAGATGATTAAGGTAATAAATTTGAAAAAAAAAAAAATTTTATTTTATAATGGCAGTTTTTATGAGGTGTATACAGAAAATTTCTTTAAATTCATATTGATTTGATAATTAAAAGATTAATTTAAAAAAATTTTCCATATCGATGATCCCTTGAAGGTTTACATGAAAAATTGAAATCAAGATATTCCAAATAAAATAACCTACGTGTTTCATTATATTAAAGAACCAATGTATGTAATTTTTAGTCAATACTTGTTATATTTTTTATTTATTCCTGATAATAATGTTTAGAGATCAAATGACTTGACTGAACATTTTATCATATTAAGTAGCTCAACAAAATGATCAGCAAAAATACCAAATTTATTCGAAAACGAAAGTGATTGTAGTGATTGTGATGGTTGTGATAGTGATGACGATGATGATAAAGTAAGATCCAATCTCTCCATAAATAACTAGATCGGTGAGTTAATTTCGAAACTTTTCAACAGATTAATTTATTTAGACTATTAAAATATAATAATAACGATATATCTTTAAATAAACTACAGTAATTTTAAATACCGACGCTCTTTGATCATTTGAGGACGCGCGTAGTCGTGTTTGCCTCCATTTACAAATATGAAAAAAGTTTACTACTACTAAATTTTAGTATGCTCGACAATCATTATTAATGCGTGATCGTAAAACCTGACTTCAAATTTTGTTCACATGCCAGCAAAACGCGATGAAATAGTTCGAACTCAATTGGCATTGTTGCAGTTGTATCCATCTTTACAGTCTGATGGAATTGATTTGTATTTGTGAAGCAAAATGCGTGATCCTACTTATGACGTATAAGCTTGACTTGATTTAGCAACTCAATTAGAATTTTATTTTTTTTTACTCTTACGATCTTAAATAACAATATTAATATAAAACATTTGTTCGATTTCCTTTGAATCATATCAAATCAAGTCTTTTAATATTTTAGTATACTGCTGAAAACTTAGTAGCTCAACAAGCCAAGAAATGAACTATGGAGGTTTGAGGAGTAATCAAACTATTTACTGTCACAGCATTGCCTATTAAGTGGATTTGGAATGGAAAAAAAATCGAAAAAATCAAACTTATGTCTTCCGAAGCAATCCAATTTGTGTAAAAAATTTAAAAGTAAAAAGAAATATAAAATAAAATTTTTATCGCTCCATTTAACATCCAAATAGTTTGCGCGGCAGTAATAAAAAATCAAAAAAAAATTTTAAGAGAGATTTTCTACTAAAACCAAAACAGGTTTGAATTAAGTTTCCAAAAATGCTTCCATCGTTGCTGCAGTAAAAACAAAGAGGTAAAGTTAATATCCTAGCGTATTTGGTAAAACATTATGATTTTCTATCAAAAAGATTGGAGCAGTAAATATATAATAAATAATGACGAAAAAAAATTCTTATGCGGAGTGCAACTGAAAATATCGACTAAAAAAGATTATAAAATTTATATTATCAAGTAGCTAAAAATAAAATACTGACACAAATTGATGACACAGTATAAACTTTATATGAAGTAAAATGTACTACGGAGATGGCCGAATATCTAGAAATTATTTTTTACGAGCGTCACATATGTACATGTATACCATACAAAACCAGTCATAATTTTTCGTACTTATCAGCAACTAGAGATGCATTTCAAACACTTAATTCATTGCACAAAATATCAATAATTTAAAGACATTCATTTTATTTTAAAATAACATTTTAAATGATGATAATTGACAAATAATGTGATAAAATCACTATGTGCCTTGTAATTTTTATGCGATGATAATTATTTTTAAATAAAATTTGAAAATCAACCAAAAAAATTATTTTTTATCTAATTAGAACAAAAAATTTTTCCGATTCAAATTATCATCATTGGTTATTTTTATTAATTACCGACAAGATTAGGTTTGTGTGCGGCGACATTGTCGCTGCTAGTTATGGCTTTAGTTAAGTTATCGTCGTGACGAGCCGAAGGGTCCATCTGAAGTGCGCCCGCATTCGTCCGAAAGGGTGGAATTGGCCCTAACATATAAAATCGAAAAAATTTATTAATCAAATAATTAATTTATTATTAATTAATTAACAATAAAATAGACAATATACCTGACTGCGCCTTTGCAATAAGCCAAAGCGGTAAATCTACTGATCTAACCTATAAAATCAAAAATCGAAAATAAACAAAAAAAAAACAAACAAAACAAGAAACATAAAAATAGAAACAGAATGCGTATCGCAAGTTCTACCGCAGGATT